CACACACACACACTCACACACTCACACTCACTCTCACTCTCACACACACACTCTCACTCACACACACTCACACTCACTCTCACTCTCACTGTCACTCTCACACACAAACACACACACACACACACACACTCACACACACACACACACACTCACACACTCACACTCTCTCTCACTCTCACACACACACTCTCACTCACACACACACACTCACACACTCACACTCTCTCTCACTCTCACACACACACTCTCACTCACACACACACACTCACACACTCACACTCTCTCTCACTCTCACACACACACTCTCACTCACACACACACACTCACACACTCACACTCTCTCTCACTCTCACACACACACTCTCACTCACACACACACACTCACACACTCACACTCTCTCTCACTCTCACACACACACTCTCACTCACACACACACACTCACACACTCACACTCTCTCTCACTCTCACACACACACTCTCACTCACACACACACACTCACACACTCACACTCTCTCTCACTCTCACACACACACTCTCACTCACACACACACACTCACACACTCACACTCTCTCTCACTCTCACACACACACTCTCACTCACACACACACACTCACACACTCACACTCTCTCTCACTCTCACACACACACTCTCACTCACACACACACACTCACACACTCACACTCTCTCTCACTCTCACACACACACTCTCACTCACACACACTCACACTCACTCTCACTCACACTCTCACTCACACTCACACACACACACACACACACACTAACACACACTAACACACACACTCACACACCTTGAGCTAACACATGCAAACACACACCAGACCTAAAATAATACGAGTCACTTCAGATGGATCAAGATTACAGGCAGAATTTGGCTCGAGTTGCACAAAAACTGCTTCTTAATCAGCGTTTTTGTCTTGTTTTCCAGTTAAAATGTCCTCAGGTTTTTGTGAAGCAAAATTGCACAAGAATTGCACGACAAGTGTTTTTTTTCTGCCAGATTGGCAAATTGTTTTTTCTTTTTCTTTCTGTGTTTTAAGCATAAAAAGTGTAGTGAGGTTTAGGATGGTTAATGTTAAGCAGTCAGATATGGTAAACTATGATACTGTAAACGGTAAGCTACGAGTGGTTCAGTGGATGAAAATAGTGTGTTTTTTGATTTACTAAAATTTTTGAGCCATTTAGGCAGCAGACAGGGAATGTAGTTTAATTCATTACATTTTTTTTTAATTTAAATTATAATATGTATTTATAAATATTTATTAGACAAATATATAAATATATAATCTTTTTTTTTTACATTCGTTACAAAATATTAACTAAAATAATTTTCAGATGTTGTATATATTTTATTTGTGCTGTTTTTAGTTCTATTCTGACCTATTAAGTTTGTCAGATGTCCCAGAAATATTTATATAAATATTTTTTTGCACCATTTACAGTAGGCAACAATAAAGGACAATAAATAAATGGTTTTGACCTTTTGACCTCTGGGTCGTGCTCCTAAATGGAGTCTCTGTACAGTTTTCTCAACTAGATTGGAGCAAAAATGACATCTTTTGTGTCATTTTCAGGAAAAACTGGAACCTGTCATGGGTGGTGCTGGTGGGAAACAGTCTCGTCTTCTTCAAAGACCCCAAAAGCCAGAATCCTGACAGCTGGGTGAGACTAACAGGGAATAGCATGGGGTCAGTTCAGCGTGTAATGCTTTAAAAGTGAAATATTTGTGAGTATGTGTGTGTTTGCATGCAGAAACCGGGTAACAGTCGTCCAGAGAGCAGCGTGGATCTGAGAGGAGCTCAGCTTCAGTGGGCCAACGATCTGTCCAGCAGAAAAAACGTCTTTAAGGTGAGAACGAGACAGAAATCAGATTTTATACTAAAGGAGAATGTCTCAAACTCTGCTCAGGTTTGTGAGACACTAAAATATGCAATCAAATATCAAGGGTTGTCCATTTTATTTCCCGAAAGGAGCATCTGTGAAAAAGTCAATGTAATTAGTCTTTGTGTCTTACTGTTTGAGCTGTTAACAGAGTAACATTTAGTTTTTAGTTCCTCAGGAACTTCCTTTGTTATAAATTTAAATTGTGATAAAGCACTGAATGGAACAACACTTTGTCTGTGTGTGTGTGTGTGTCTCTGTGTGTGTAGCTGAGGACGGTTACGGGAAATGAGTTTTTGTTGCAGTCAGAAACAGAATCACTCATCAGAGAATGGTACAGAACCATCCAGAACGTCATCGACAGACTGGTGAGTCTGAAACGCACACACACACAAACACGCACACACACACACTCACACGCACACTCACACACTCACATGCACGCACACTCAAACATGCATACACACACACACACACACACACACACACACACACACACACTCACGCACTCGCACGCACACTCGCACTCACACACGCACACACACACACACTCACACTCACACACGCACACACACTCGCACACTCACACACACACACACTTGAGCACATGCACGCACACACACTTGCACGCATACACTCTCTCACACACACACACACACATACACACACTCACACACACTCATACACACACACGCATGCACACGCACGCTCACGCACACTCACACTCACACACTCGCACACACTTACACACACACATGCACTCACACACGCACGCACACACTCACACACACACGCACGCTCACGCACACACACACACACGCACGCACGCACGCACGCTCACGCACACTCACACACACTTACACACACGCACTCACACACGCACACACACACACACACACACACACACACACACACACGCAC